GCCTCCCTTCTCCCAGCCTCACCTCCCGGCTCCCGGCTCCTCTTCTCCAGCTCCAGCTCCGCGATCTCGCTCAGCAGGGTGATACCGTGCAGGAAGCTCTGCTCCAGGACCAGGTTCTGGGCGGCCTCCAGCTTCTCCAAGGCCTGGGGCCCAGCGGCCGGAGACGGCAGGGGTCTGGCCTGGGGCAGTTCTGCCGCGGCTGCCAGGGCGTTCATGCCTGCCAGCGGGTCCTCCATGCTGGGCAGGAAACGCTCAGCATCCGTCTCTTCTAGGAAGCAGGAGCTGCTGGCCACGGCCTCCGGGGCCTCGAGGCCCAGACACTCGCCCTCTGCAGCGGGCACAGCACAGTCCGGCAATTCCAGGCTCGGGTGGGGCTCGCCGGTGGCTGCGGGGGCCAGGTCTTCCTCCGGCTCAGCCTCCCCCATGGGCATGTCCACCGGCACCTCCACCGGCTCCTCCTTGGCCTCCACCAGAGTCTCGGGGGTCAGTTGGCCCCCCAGGTCCGAGGACGCCACACAGGCTTCTGTCCGGCAGGGCGAGTCCACACGTGCCTCCGCTCCCTCCGCACACTCAGGGCACTCGGGGGGCTCCGTGCACGCGGGCCCTGTTGCACTCAGCGCCTGGGCCTCTAGCAGCCCAGCCCCACAGGCCAGGGCAGGGCTCGGGGCCGGCCCGGGCTCAGCAGCGGGCAGGGCCAGTGGAGACCCCAGTGGAGGCAGCTCCGGGGGGCTCTCATCCAGGTCCTCCACCTCCGCCTTCACCTCCCGCTCCACCAGCGGCTCTTCCTCCGGGGGCGTCCGCAGCGGCTCCGGGATCTTAGACGGGGACAGGCGAATGGGCTTGTCTTCAGGCGAGAGGGCCAGGCGCTCAGGACCCTCAGCGGGGAGCGGGACGTCGGGGGCCAGGCCGTCGGCATCGGCGGCTGCCGTGGGCTGCAGCAGGAACTGGTAGGGCCTTCCATAGTGGGGAGGCAGAGCTGGGAACGGGTACCTGGGGGGGATATCTGCAAAGACGACCAAAAGTCAGCATGTGGTCCAGCCCCACCGCTTCTACCACTTCTGGGGCCCCTGGGTTCCAAATCAGTCACTCTCTGCTTGGCCAGCCCAGGGTCTCATGAAGCGGGCATCTGGGCAGCCCAAGGGCCACAGGCACAAAAAATTGCTGCCAGCTAGTGCCCAAGGGTCTTGAGGTCCCAGCAAGGACGGATTTTTCTTTCTCTTCCCTTTCCTACTGAGTACCTAGATCCAACCATACCTGAAAGCATCCTTAGGCCAGCAGTAAACGCTTAGCATTTTACATGAAGCCCCAAGGGCCCGCCTGGCCCCCTCCAGCCCGTCCACAAGGATGCACCCCATTAAAGCAGAGTGGGGGCACCCAAGTGCTCCTCCCCCTGCCAGCCCACCCTTGCTGATACTCAAGCTCCCACTAGAACGTCCTGTCGAAGGTCTGGAGCATGTTTCCTGTGATGTTCCAGCCTCCGCCCAGAGCTGGACAAACAGACGTGCTTGAAGGCACCAGAGGAAGGTCAGAGAAGAAGGGGCACCCCAAGGATGGTCAATGCTGGCCAGAGAAGGGGACACAGCGGCCCAAGCTTACACGGCATCAGGTGGCAAACTCGGAATTTGAACCCAAGTCTGTCGCCATGCAGGTGTGTGGTCTAGCAGCCACCAGAAGCCAGTCACCCCACCATCGCTGAGAGAGAGGCCCCTCCTTTGGGCCATAAACCTGAGCAGGACCAGACGGCCTCATCTTTCTCCTGAAGAGCAACTGGTGGACTCAAACCAATGGACTTCCAGTTAGCAGCTCCGTTTAATCCACTGCACCACCAGAGCGCCTCTAATGGCCACCAGGAAGGCAAGCACACGCTCGGCCCCATCGGAACCAGGGACCTCAGGTCCTTAGACAAGGGACCCCGGCCAGGGGGGGTGTCTGCACGCACCACTCTCTGGGGGGAGGTGTGTGCTCCAAGCGGACACCTATGCTGCACCTACGTGCCAGGTGTGCCTGGCTGTTCACCCAGTTAGTGAGCTCGGCTGCTAACCGAAACCTTGATGGCTCAAATTGACTCAGTGCTGCCTCAGAAGAAAGGCCTGGCAACCTACTTCCAAAACCCAGCTGGTTCCTTAAACTGTTCCCTTAACACTCCCGGGGTCCCTGTGTGTCAGAATCCACCCCCTGGGCACTGTGACAGGCCAAGGACTTCCTACCAGGTCTAAGGAACTCTTACAGTACATTATGCTAACCAAAAGGTCAGTGGTTCAAAGCTCCATGGGAGGAAGACAGGTGGTCCCCCTCTCTACAGATGTACGGCCTTGGAGACCTCAGAGAGGGTCGTCATCAGTCAGAACCAACGGGGTGGCAGGGGCGCTGGATGTGTCCCCTAACTCTCAGAACAGGCTGTCTGACTATGACACTGCTTCCCAACGCCACCCTGAGGAAGCGTGTGAAGAGGAAAACCCCTGGCTGACGAGGTTTCAGCAGCCGGATCCAGCTGTATCTGAAACCACCCGCTGGGGCGAGACCAGAGCTCAGCACAGGCCCAGGACACAGCAGACGAAGGAGACAGTGGGTGCAGGAAGGGAGGGGAGCGGCACCGGAGCACCTGAGAACAGGGCCTGGAAGGGGCTGGGGGCTTCCTTCTCCAGCTCCAGGTCCTTCTTCTCCACCACGTTTTCAGGAGCCTCCTCCTTGCGGGTGATGCTGGGGGCAGGCGGCGGGGAGGCGGGCGGTGGACTGCTGGGGTGTGAGCTGGGCGTGGCGGGGTAAGCATAGCTGGGCGGCTTGGACACATCCTCCAGCTTCTGGATGACCTTGGCCTTCAGGGCAGCCACCGGAGACGCACGAGGGGACAGCGGGGGTGGTGGGCTCAAGCTCTTGCTGTAGGCGGGGGCGGAGGGCTTCCTGGGCAGCACCCCAGGGCCCGAGGCAGCCAGGCTGGCCTTGCTGGCCGCCTCCAGGCTGCGCCGGCCCACCTTCTCCTCCATCTCCGCACGGTGCTCCTGGACCTTCAGCCGCTCCTGCTGGGAGAGGTCAGTGGGCAGGCTCAGTGTGCTGGGTCCAGCGGCCCACCCGGTCCCAGGGGCCCTTTCTCTGGGGAGAGGCTCAGGCAGGTTCCAGACATTCCGAAGTGGTGGGTATGTAACAAGCACAGAGTTCCACACGGAACCCCACCAGCAGGACCAGGGATGGGACGAGGGCACAGAAACCTGGGGGGACTAGGCGTTCCAAGGGACCCCCACACCAGGCAGGGGGCAGGTGTCAACCCCTCCTGGTCACTGTCAAGTAGGTCCTCCCACCCCTCAGGGGGCTGCAGCTCCGCTCCTGCTGCTGTGAGAGCGAGGGCACCTCAGCCAGCACCCCACCCTGCGCTGTGCTTGTGGGGTCCGCTGGGGTCCGCGGGCAGAGACCCGTCCACTGAGCTAACTGCTCCCGTGACACTGGCACCTCGAACAGGGAAGCAAGCCGCTGCTGCATCTCCCACGTGAGGGTAATACGCAGGGCCCCCAGCCTGGCGAGCAGAGCTGAGACCTGAACCTATGGCCCAAGCACTCTGCTCCCAGTGCTGAGCCCACCAGCGTACTGGGCAGTCAGTGACAAGGCAGAGCATTCCAGAATACTTCCAAGGACCAGCGGAACTAGAGCCTCACTGAGATCCCTCCCATCGCCGCGTCCAGGGAAGCAGCACAATCACTATTTCCCTAGATGCTCTGAGACAATGTGTGGACAGGGAGTGGGGTAACAGAGAGCAGCTCCTCAGTGCACAAGGCCGCCTGTGTCCTCCCTGCGGACACCCGCCCTGCCAGGCTCCGCCCACTCCATGCCCTCTGCCTGGAGAGCTCTTCAATTTGGCTCCGATGCCACCTCCTCCAGGAAGCCCTCCCTGACCACTCCCTCCCGAACGACTTGTCACTGGAGAGCTGACCGCTGACACCACAGCAGGGGTGTCTCAGGAGGTTGGGGTCCCCACGGCACAGCTCCCCCAGCAGGCCCTTCACGCCCTCGCCCCCACTCACCACCAGCTGGGCGCTCCTCTGCAGCTCCAGGGCCTGGGCCGCCTGCTGCTGCAGGTAGAGGAACTCCTGCTGTCGCAGGAAGTGCTGCTGGGAGAAGAGCTGCAACTGCTGGGCGTGGTGCAGGGGGCTTCGGCCCGGCTGGTACAGCGTGGACCAGAGCGGGGGCGCCGCCCGCTCCATCAGATCCGCTGGGGAGGAGACCGCTGTGAGGCAGCAGCAGAGCCCACCCCATGCCCCGCACACCGGGCATTCTGGGCTCTGCTTTGCCCCATGGGGACCAGGCGTCCACCTGCCCCCCAGGCCCTGGGCACATGGCCCTGCCTCAGCCCAAGGGCCCTGCAGCCAGAGGGGCTGAGGGGTTCTGTCCTGGGCCTACGGGGAACCCCCTTCAGCCTGCTGGGGGGCCTGCTGAACGAGTCCTGGTGACACAACGTGCTAACTAACAAATGTCAGCAGCATCTGCACGGAGGAGGACGGGCAGTCGGCTCCCGTGAAGACTTCGGGCTGCAGGAACCCCGTCCTGCAGGGTCTCCGTGAGTCAAACCCACTCAAGGCCAACAGGTTTTCCGGTTTAGGTCTGAAGGGTGACAGAGGTCCGCCCTGGGGCCAGCTGCGTCCTGATCTCAGCTCTCCAGCTTCCAAACCCCAAACTCTTCCACTTACCAAGCCTGCAAACTGGGTCCCCTGAGCAGGTGGGGAAAGGGCCGGGCACCCGCTAGGGCCGCCCAAACATGTAACTCCTCTTATGAGGATTTTGGACAAAGTGTCTTCTAAACAAGGACCCCCGAGCTTTCCACCTCGTGTAAACCACTGACATCAAACACAGTCCTGCTGGAACCCCACCCCTCCCGCAGCCCCCGCCCAACACCTCGAGTCCACTCACCAAAGTGAGGCAGATGATCGCTGGGGATGACCACCAGCTGGCCCGACTGGGGGTCTCGGACAAACTGGTAGGCGGAAGGCAGGGAGCCACCTAGGCCAGGGGGAAAAGCGGGCGCCATGCCCTGGTGCAGAGAAGGGGGGCCCAGGCCTAGAGGAGATGAGCCAGTATGTCAGTTCTGGGGCCTGCCCCCACCTTCAAGGCCACCCTGCCCCTGCCCTGCACCCCTCCAAGTTCTGGGGCCCCATGAAAAGAACCAAGGAGGGAGGGGAGTGGCAAACAGGCCCCCAGGCCTATCCACCAGGCACCACCCCTGGAGCAGGTAAAGAATTAGCCTTGGGCCACCAAGGGCCAATGCCTGGCAGGGGAGGGCACACCTGGCCAGAGTGTGGCCCCTCCCCTCCGCTCACCCCACACCTGCATCCAGCCCTTGAGATCTTCAAGAATAAAGACCTAGTGACTCTCCCCAAACACACCCCGCCTTCATTCAAGGCAGATGAGGAGCCACTGCATCTGGCCGGCCAGCTAGGGAGACTCTCCACTTCAGGGCCCCCTCTTACTGTAAGAGCTCCCCAAACCCCATGCATGAAGAGGACACTGCCCAGCCCACCCTCTCTCACTGGAGGGGTGCCTGGCCCCCGTCCTATGCCTACTCACCGTAGGGGTGACCTGCAAGCCACATGGACGTGCTGCCCGAGCGAGGCAGCCAGGGGTGTGTGGCCAGGTGGGCTGCAGGGTCAGCTGACCAGCGGCCAGAGCCCGAGAGTGCAGGGCCTCCTGTCACCATGAGGTTGGGGTTCAGGCCATTGGCCGTACAGCTGGTGGGGTGCAGGCGGGCCAAGTCTGCCAGCTCCTTGCTTTCTCTGTAAGAGGCGTCAGAGGTATCAGCCACGAACCGGCCTGGTCACTCAGAAAGCTCCCCCTACAGTCGGGGGCACAGGGTGGACAAGCGTCCCCAGGGCAGAAGACAGGTCACCTGGCAGAGACCTCACACATCAGCCACTGCGGCCTTGACACCCCTGGCACGGTCAGGGCACAGCCTCTCCCACACTGTGTCCTGCTCACCAACCCTGAGACCAACTCTGCTCAGGCCTGAAGGCCTCGCTCAGCTGCCAAGACCACTCTGTACCCATCACACAACACGAATGTCGAGGCGCAGACGAGAAGTGAGTGATTACTGGAGAGGCGAGTGTGTCAAACTCAGATGGCAAACTGTTCAGATGTCCCCGTACCCACTGTACAGACAGGAACACTGAGGCTCAGAAAGGAAGTTAAGGACCCCACAGAGCCAGCCTCACCGAAGCAGCTTCTCCTGGTCCCGGTCCAGCCGCCCGTCCAGCAGCCGCTCGTCTCGGTGCCGACCTCGCTCGTCCGCACAGCCCTCCTCGGCGCGTCCGTGTCCTGAGCGGGGAACCAGGCAGGGCGTCAGCCTGGGCCCAAAGTGACCACTGTCGTGGCCTACTCCAGCCTCACCCCTCCTGTTAATCTAAGCTGCCACCCTCGCTTGGCGTTCCAGCCTTCTAGCGGTGACTGAACAGATCCGTTTGTCAAGGTCATTTACGTGCAGTGTTTCTTGTGACATCCTGGAAGCAGGAGCGGCATCCACTTCCGAAATGGCTTGCCTCCAGAAACTCTATGTATGAACAGTGCTCAGGCGGGTCGTTCACAGGGTCGCTATGAGTCGTCTACGACTCGACGGCATTAAACAACAACAACAACATTTCTGTTACAGCAGCTCTACACGACTAAGACCAATAACGGCCAGCTGTGAGGCCCAGTCAGACTCACTGATAGTACTGTAATGGTAAGAAGGGACAGGAAGAAAGGAAACAGGAGTCACAGGGAGGAAGGAGGAAGATTAATGCCTCGAACCTTCAACCCCCTGTAAGCAGCAAACGCACCAATCACTGGATCCCTGAATGGGGCACACCGCATCTATCCCACTGCAGAGCGTGTCACCTGCAATGCCTGTCACCTCACTGACAGCAGGACAGGGAAATGCCAGCTCAAGTTCACACAGAGGTACCTCAAAACAAAGGCCTGGTAACCAACATCTGAAAAGTCCGCCCTTGAACCCTGCGGAGTTCCACCCTGACGCCGCTGTCTCACACTGAGCCCTGAGCAGGGCTCATTCATTCCTGGGATATGTGGGGAAACTGAGGCCCAGGCAGGACAGGGCATGAAGGGTCATTCTCGGGGCAGCAGTGTCTTACTGGCTGATTTGGGGAAGGGGCTCAGAGGGGCACAGCTGTCCAGGCCCCTGAGAACGTGGCCCGAGGCAGGGTCAGCATACCCAGAGCAGGGAGCTCAGGCCAGTGCAGGCCCTCTCTGCTCTCACGGGACGGGGCAACCCTCAGTCCCCCAGGTTGGCACATGCACCGTCTCAAGGCTGCCCCAGGAGCCCCCACAACCATCAGGGAACCAGAAACTTGTCTGCACGCATGTGGCCCACTGCAGGGGCAACCCTGTGACCAGGACCCCCCCACTCTGGAGCTGGGGCCTCGAGCCTCCGTTCAAATCCCACACCATCCATCCTCTCTCAGCCCAAATTAGCCGGGCTCCGGCACACCCCTCAACCTGCCACACCTCCCCATGCCCCCAAGACTGCTCGCACCCACCTCCACGGAGCCCCATGACTCAGAATCACCTCGACAGCAGTGGACTGGGATTAAGAAACCCAGACAGCCAGCGACCAGGTGAGGTGGTGCCTCAGAGTCGCTCCCTCGGGAGCCCCCAGCCCACCCAGATAGCAGAGGGTCTGCACCGCAAGGCTCATGACAGACGCCCGACGCTGGGTCCTCCTGCCCCGATGCCAGTGTTCCCGTGACCTCCACGGCCAGCACTGCCCTCCGCTCCTCACGATTCCCACCTGGAAGGCCCGTCCCCAAACCCGGCTTCCTGGTGGACAAACAGGTACAAAATGCCCAGGCCCCGTAACTAATAAGCAGAAGCCGTGGCTGAGGGCGTCCTTCTGCCCCTCAGGGTCCCCCACCCAGGGGCCTTCACAGAGCATGTGTCTAGGGTACTGGCCGCAGCCCCACCCCCGCCAGGGACGTCCCCCCTGCAGCGATGGCTGGCCTGTCCACGTGTCCCACACTCTACGTCCCGACCATTAAGCCCAAGGCTCAGGCTGAGGTTGGTTTCCATAGCAACCACATCAGAAGCATCTCACCAGATAACTGTGTGTGTTCTCTGGAGGTCTGAGACCAAGGTCGGCAGCCCACCCCTCCCAGCACCACTGCTCTGCACTCCTCATGTGATCTCGGGAGTGGGGGACATCCCTCCCAGCTCCTCTTCCTCAGTCCTGTGCCCCAATCTGCACCCACTGCGGAGGGAACAGGCCGAGGAAGCAGAGGCAGGGGCGCACAGCGTGGTCGTCCGGCTCAGCTCTGCCTCTTTAACCTCTGCGGGCTCGGTCTCCCCTCCTGTCAAGCGAGGGGAGGGACAGTTCCTACTGAGCGGGCATCGTGGACATGTGCCCCCAAAACACATGTCAACTGCACTGCGCTTTTCAACGGGCTGGAGTCCTGCCATGATGTAATCAACCCCCAGGCTGTTATCTGATGTGACCAGCCGTCAGGGGACTCAAGTGCCGAGTAACGTCCTTAACCAGACCACGGTCCTGATGCGGCTGTCTCCCTGGCTATGGCCTGTATCACCTTTTATCTTCCGCCACGGCCAGGCAGACAAAGAGAAGGAAAGTCTGTCCCTACAGCCAGAGCTTCTTAAACTGAGAGAAAATGAATTTGTTTGTTGAAGCCACCCTCTTGTGGTACATTCTGTTACAACAGCTCTAGAGAACTGAGACGGCAGGGACGGAGGGAGGGTGTGACGTGGGTCCAGGTCAGGGCAGTGTCAGCACATGGAGGATGGAGCTCCATGGTAACGGCTGCTGTGATGGGTGGCCGTCTCAGACCAGGAAACGTGGGTGTCTGGGGGGGGGGGTCACAAATGTATATAACGAGCCACCCTGAGCCCACTCCAGGCCTCCAGACCCCTCCAGTCAGTTACAAACCCATCAGAAAACCACTCGGGCTCTTCTCCAGGAGGAAGGCCCAGGACTCACACATGGCCATCGTCCTGAGATCCTGATGCATTCACACAAGCACAAGAAGAGGGCTACTCACGGGGCACCTACCACAGGGAGACCTCCCTGACTGCACCTCAGCAGTATTGTGCTTTCTTACAAAGTGAAGGTCTACGGTCACCCTATCGACACCAGGTCCATCAGCACCATTTGGGCAAAAGCTTTTGCTCACTTTGTGTCTCCACGTCACATCTTGTCATTCTCAAAATACTCCCAGCTTCTCCCTCTTTACTATGACACACTTCATAGGTGATAATATAAGGGTAACTCTTCTCTGAGTCGAAAACTAGAACATTTGTGCTTTCAGATCAGCAACAATGCGGTGGCTCACCAAGCCTGCACCACCTCTGAGGTCCATCAGTGTCCACCAGCCAGCCTGGCATCACACTACTGAGGGGCTGCCCATTGTCCACTAGTACAGGCGGAAACCACAGTTCCTGAGAGGAACTACATGGTTAACACGCTCAGCTGCTGCCTGAAAGGTTAGAAGTTCAAGCTCACCCAGAGGCACCTAAGATGAAAGGCCTGGCAAGCAACTGCAAAAAAAATAAAAAATCCCTAATTCACCCTATAAAGCACCGTCCTAATCTGAATGGACCCGGGCAACCAGCTTTAAAGAACTTACGCCTCTGCTTCAAAACCATGTAGCTGGAAGGAGAAAAAAGAAAGAGCCAAGATTTGAACTCACAAACACGCAAAGGGCTCTCTTTGAAAAGCAAGGAAGGACCACAGTCTCCGGGGGACATCAAGGTCAAATGGCTCACCGCAGCCCAGAGAGACAATATTATATACTCTAGGAGAAGCCGCGCCAAGTCCTAAAAGCTTATGAACAGCCAGCCAAGGTGCGACTACTGGCCTCCCCCATCACAACAGAGAGAAGAAAACCAGAGACCTAGTGCAAAGTCTGTCTCCATGACTCTGAGACCAGAAGAACTAGATGGTGCCCCGCCACCACCACTGAAAGGGGTCACTGCAGAAAGTCCCTGTTAGAGTAAAATACACTGACCAGAGCTCCAAACCACAGGGAGGGCCAGGCTTACTGGTAGTCAGAACCAGCAACACAAGGCAAAGCTGAACTGGAGCTGCCGTCCGCGGAGCCTCTGCCCGGGCTTACAAAAGAAACACTCCAAGTGGCAGCACTGAAAAAGCTTTGTGACACTCGCCCAAGGGTCTGTCTTAACTAGAGAACGGTATTCTGTTTCCAACCTGAACTGTAACTTGCTAACTTCATTAATAAAGCCCATAAACATGAGAAGTGAGGAGGGAGAAAGATGAAGGGAATCAAGAAACACAGGGAGGAACTGGGAAGGGTGCTGTTTAATGTGGGGATTGTAATCAACGTCACAAAACACAGTGTGGTTTGAGTTGACAAATAGAGGACCAGTTTGCTCTGTAAACTTTCCCTCAAATCAAAATAAAAAGTTTAAAATGAAAGTAAATGAAAAATAGGGTAAATCCCTTGAAAGCAGAGACTCCAACAGACACCAGTCCACCAACCTCACCGCAGGCCCATTCAGAACAGCCAGAGGTGGACACAGCCCACATATCCATCTGCAGATGATACACAAACAATGCTGTCCACCTACACAACAGACGATGCCTGACCACAGAGAGGTGCAGCCCGGGTGCACGGTGCCACACAGGTGAACCTCAAAAACAAGACTTCACACACAAGAGGTCAAGCCCTGTACTTACCTACAAGAAACATCAGAAAGAGACAGCGTAGGCACCGCCAGCGGGCAGTTACGGTGGGCCCAGGGGCCGGGGAGGGGGTGGAGAGAGTGCTAAAGGGATTCTGGGTGTCTGTCTGTCTGTCTGGGATGATAAAATGTTTTAGAAATAGACAGGAGTTGCATAATGCCAGGACATAATTGCTGTCACTGAGTCCCACACGTAAAGATGGTTCAACCGGCAACTTCTGTGTTTGACCACAATAACGTTTGTTTAAGAAGAGAGTGATTAATGGGGGACTCTGGGGGATCACCACCCACCGGGCTGGGGAGTAATCTCCCAGTACAAGTGTATGTGCACACACCTCTAAGCACACGCATGTGCACACGTGCCGGAAACACCTAACTCCCTCACCTTACCCCCAAGGGCGTCGGACAGGGAGCCAGGGCTGCCTGGGGGAAAACTATCCCTTCTTGGTGCTATTCCCCGCCCCCCCCCCCCCCCCCCCCGAAAGAGAAAACCCCCCCCCCCCCCCCCCCCCCCCCCCCCCACCGAAGGAAAAGGAATCCAGCTGCCAGCTACCTACCTCTCAACCACCAGAACCAACAGAGCATCTCAGCTTCAGACAAAACTGAACGCAAACGCAGGAGCACCAAGCTGGCCTGACTCAGCGACCCTTCAGGACAGAGCAGGACAGCCCCCAGGGTTCCCACGGCAAGACCCTCGCGGAGGCCAACCTCAGGATCTTCCTCCTCCAGGGTGACTTTGAACTGCCAGCTTTTTGCTTAGCAGTTGGTGGCTTTAACCTCCTCACACCAGAACCTTCTAGATTCAGACCCGAGCCACTGCCAAGGAGTAAGAGCGGACTCAGCACCGCCTCCAGCTGGTTCCCAAGGCTGTGGTCCTGACGGGCAGACTGGCCTCATCTATAACACAGCTGGCAGGTTTGAACTGCCAACCTTTCCATTAACAGTCGAGCACCTCCAAGCTTCAACCAAGTCTGTGACCATCTCCTCCTTCACATTGTCTCTCTCACACAGGCCTCCCCAGGGTAGGTCCCCCCAGCACAAACAGGTAGTAAGTACACTGAGCTCCGGATGGCCCTGGGACCACAGTCCCCAACAGCGGACGCCATGCTGCACCAGCTGCACATTATCAATGTCCCAAGCGTGGCCCAGGGACAGGAACCCCCAAGAGGAGCTCCTCCTCCCGACTCCTGGGGTGAAGGAGGGGTGGCCAATCACCAAACCAGAAAGCAGGTGGACACTCCTTTAATTCTGGCCCAATGGGACCATCATACGTGCTTCCCGGTCAGAGGGCCCGCGGCCTCCCTGTCTCCCGGGACCTGCACAGACAACAATGCCCTCGCTCGGTCACTCAGTCACCACCTGCTAGCCTTCCTCACACTATCAATCCACGCTGGACAGACAATTCAGAGCTGGAGGGCCCCCTCCTGCTCCCAGACAAGGGGACAGCCAGAAATCAGCTGCAAACAGTGCTGATGGCAGCTCCCGAGAGATGGGCCGACTGAGCGCTGGAGGAGAAGGGGACCTGGGTCACCAGGTAGAAGGACACAGCTCTCGCTAAGTGAATCTCAAGGGACCACTGGCCACAGAGCAAAGTCACTGCCACAAGCCAACCCCAACTCACAGCGACCTCCAAGGACAGAGCAGAGCCACCCAGGTGTCCAAGGCTGCAGAGCATTCTGGGATTACGGAGTCGACCTCATCTCACAGAAGCGTCCAAGGACAGAGCAGAGCCACCCCAGGTGTCCAAGGCTGCAGAGCATTCTGGGACGAGGCTGTCTCATCTTGCTCCTCTGGAGCACTGGTGGGTTTGAACCGCTGACCTCTAGGCTCACAGCCTGAGGCTTAACCTACTGAGCCACGATGGCTCTTTCCATAAACATAGCTCTCCAGGCACCCAAGAGGTCCCACAGCTCATGGGCAAGGCACAGAGGAAGTACAGCCAACCACTGCCCACAACATACTCACCCTCATTAGCTATTCAACCAAGGAAGCCTGGTGGTCAGTGGTTTGAACCCACCAGCTACTCCAAAGATAGAAAGAAAGACAGGCAGTCGCCTCCCACAAAGACTTACAGACTCAGAAGCCCAGTGGAGGGTCAGCAACGGTCAGAATGAACTCGGCGACAGGGGGACGTTTACCAAGGCAGCAGCCGCTGCTTTTTAAGAATCATATTCAGGGGGAGCTCTGGTGGCCTAGGGGCAAGAAGCTGCACTGCAATCCCAGAGGAGCATGGTTCAAATCCACCAGATGCTCTGCCGGGAAAGGAGGGACAATCTCCTCCTGTGCCAGTCAGATCTGATTTGACGGTACACGCACATAAAAATAATAATAATTAAAAAAAAAAAGAATCGTATTCAGACAGCTCTGGGGAGTCTTCACGGAATCCCCACTAACGAGGCGCTAAGATAACGAAGGACCTGACGTATCCAGACATATAACTGGCATCAAGTCAGGCTCCTGTCATGAGAACCCCACAAAACAGAGGCAGGCTGCTGAGATCTGCTGGATTCCACTGCCTGATTTTCATCATTGGATTACCAGACCTTTCTTCCTGGTCTTAGTCTGGAAGTGCCACTGACGTCTCTTGAACTTCACAACCCCTGACAGATGGACGGTGGCTTCACATGAGGTGTGCTGGCCAGGAAGGAATCAGAGCCTGGTCCCCCTCACTATGACCACCACTGCCCCCCAAAGAATACTGGGACATAATGATAACACTGGAATGTCACGTTATCCCCCTCACAAAGTCCAACACATCCAGTCAACAAATCCGTGCTGAGGACGGACACACAGAGAAGCCGTAGCAGCACGGTGGCTAAAATGCTTGGCTGCAAACTGAAAAGCTCGGTGGTCTGAATCCACCATTTACTCCTAAGGAGAAAAAGGGAGCAGCTTCTTCCCATAAAGATTTACAGCCTCGGAAAGGGTATGGGGCAGTTGCACTGTCTGCAGGGTCACTAAGACTCAGAATCAACTCGAAGGCAGTGGGCCTGGTGTTTCGGACAGAGGTGACGAAATATGCAAAACATGGCTCCTTCCAGGATTTAAAAGTCCCAGGCCAAACGCGCATCTATTCCGAGGAACCTATTCTTAGCCGATGATTCCCAAGGCCATAAAAGCTCAACACACAGAAATATTCAAGACAACCTTATAAACCAACCCAACAGAGAAGGCGGAAAAATGCCCGCCAGCCAGAGGGAACAGTCAGCTCACGGATGGGACGCGCTCCCGACGGAACGTTACGGCTAAGAAGAAATGACGTTTATAAAAAAATCTGCAAGAAAAAAGAGCAACATCCCACGCTCCGAGACGTGAAAAACATGGGCTGAGATTGTATCTGTGCGAGACAGGCACGAGAAAACGAGTTCTGGAAAGGCCCAACAGTGGAGTTAGAAAAACAGAACGTTCTTTGTGCCTTTTCCTCCTTTCCTCTATTGCCACGTTTCCCACATGGATAATGGAAAACAAACCGAATTGGGAAGACAAGGGATGTAAAAACAGGGGTGGGGTGAGGGCCAAGAGAAAGACAGAAACTAAAGCAAGGGGAGGAAGGCCTGGGCACCATGATTAACATTTTGATCAGAGATTCTATAGTACAATCTTGATCAAAAGGGGGGAAACTGTAGCACAGAATTTGAAGTCTTTTGTTTTGTTTTTTAAATGGAATCCAAACTGTCTAGAGCTGCTTAGGTTAAAAAAAATTCTCAAAACTCTTGCCCAGAAATCATCTTAAACCTCCTATCTCATTAACTCCTAAAACCAGACAACAGTCTAACTTAAATAGTAAGGAAGTACTTCACTTGAGCATGGTGCTCTTAAAAGATCTATAGGGACTAGGGAGCTCTGGTGGCATAGTGGCAAGAAGCTGCACCGCAATCCCAGAGGTACATGGTTCAAATCCACCAGATGCTCTGCAGGGGAAAGAGGGGCAATCTCCTCCTGTACCAATCAGATCTGATTTGAGGGTACACACACAGAAAATAAAAAAATAAATTTAAAAAACAAAATCTATAGGGACTGCCAACAGAAACTCAAAAAGGTCAGACAAGAAGTTTAGGAGCCAGCAAGTTCTGGGGAATGGGAGAGAAACAACTCAAAGAAGGCAAAAATGGTTGTACAGCATGAAAATGTAATCAGTAGCAGTGTAAGCTATATATTGATACATATTGTTCAGTATCCCAATGTTTTCCTGTGTAAATTTTAACAACAAAAATGTGAATCTCAAGAGGCAATGAGGAACGGTAGGGTGCCAGGACCTACCTTTGACATTGCTCAGAGACAAGGAGCGTTCCTGGTCTCCCAGACCGGGTCCTAGTCGGCCACTCCCTCCACTGTCCTTCTGCCTGGCCACAGCTACCGCGATGCCCACGGGCGGGTGCCGCACCTCGGCCTCGCCCTGCACGCCGGAACCTTCACGTCCGAAAGTCTTTGCACTCTCAGGTCTTTCCGGATCCTTCTTCAGTTGTCGTCCCCCACTCGCTGTGGGGCCTCCAGGGTGCTGGAGGCGGCCTTGGGCGCGCGGGGCACCCCCCGTGGTGGGCGCGGGCTCCGGCTTCATGGTCCCCAGGCCTCCGAATGGGCTCTTCTTGCCGCAGCCACCAGGGCGCACGGCCACGGCCTCGCGGGGGAAGCTGCCGCTGTACTTGATTAGACTCTGCATGGCCGAAGCCTCTCCAGGGCCGTGCGTCACCGGGTGCATGTCCACACCCGGCCTCCCACAAGCTCGCGTACCCCCTGGGTCCAAGTACGTCTTTTTCGAGGCTGCCTCCTCCTCTGCACGGCTAGCCTGGTGGTGCTGGGCGGCCAGCACGGCCATCTGCGTGGTGGCAAAATTGCCCAGCTCAAAGGGCTTCCACTTGTGGTCAGTGGCGGCCGGGGGCGGCCGGCCGGGGTCCAGGCCGAAGAGCTTGGCGGCCTGCTGGGCGGCGCTGGCGGGGACTCGGGGTGCGCGCTCGCAGGGGCGCTGGTCACCCTCTGGCTTGAGCAGCTCCTTGGCCGGGAGGTAGGCCCGCGGGTCCGGGGAGGCGCGCGTGCGCACAGGCGGGGCGTCCGAGGGCGGCGGCCGCTTCAGCGACCGGATCACCGAGTTCTTCTCCCGCAGCACCTCGGGCGGTGGCCGCGGAGAGCCGGGCGGTGGCTGCAGGACCCCGGGCCGGCCCGCCTCGCGCTCCCGGGCCCGGACATCGCGCGCCTGGGAAGCGATCTGGATGGGCCCCGGGCGCTCGTCGCAGGCCTCCACGGAAGGCACGAAGGTGGGCGCCACGACGCGGTGCTCGCGACCCGGCTCGCGCGCCGCAGGGAAGATGGTGTAGACGCCCGCGGGGCCGGGCTGTGGGGGTGCCGAGAAGGCCCCGGGGGCCGGGGGCGCAGGGGGGCCCTTGCTGGGCGGGAGGGGCGAGGGGCAGGGGC